TTGACTACGTTTCCATCGAGGGTCCAAATCGGGTCAGAGTCGGGTTAGAGTCGGGTTTGAGTCGCGGGTTGGAGTTGCGGCAGGGTTGAACATTACCAACTGCACAAAGTCAACTACCATATTCTGACATATAAAGCTGAGCAATATTAATTTTAGAATATCAAAATAACATACAAAAATTATTTCTCAGATTACAAGATCACCGACAAAAAGTAATAGTAACCTCTTCTACACCGATTAATACAGCACGTGATACACAATGCAATTTGGATTTGTTATGTTGGCAACACGAACTCGACTCTTGTCGTTGCCACCGAACCTCAACTGAACGCTACCCTAAAATTTTGTAGGGTAGAGTTCAACTAAACCTTTGGCGTTTCCACCGTACAAGCGCTGACCCCAACCCGACTCTAACCCGACTCTAACCCGATTTGGACCCTCGATGGAAACGTAGTCAAGGTCGTTCTAAACGATAGGGACTGTTCTGAAGTTAGTTAAGATGTGATAATTTTATGTAATTTTATTTGAAAGTCTAATATAAATGTTTACAGTAATTATTAAATATAAAAGGAGATTATTGTGTGTGCAATAACATTAAGGAAATTTAGATTTTAAATAACATCACGCCGTACACTAAATAGTTACGAAACCGTAATTATAGAATATAGGGATATTTTATGTACAAAACGGTTGGTATTTCTATTTAACTGGATGTTGGATCTTTTTCTCGCGGTGCGGATGTCGGCAAGGTACACATGAGTTACACTTTGATTTTTGAGTTAAAAACATGGGTAAAATGAATAGGAAAAAATTGAATGATACTTTGTATGTTATTCGTGACATTACAATATATTTAATGAATTAAGGTTTTCCTCTGGATCGCGTATACAAAGTTTGATAATGTTGGATTTCACTTGGTCCAATGTAGTTTAGACATTTGACAGCATATTAAACTTTGTTAAATTTTCTTTTAAAATAGCATTTTCATGTATTGTATAAATTTCGAGTGAAATTTGTTTAAGTCAAAGTAATAAGAAAGTAAAATAAATACTTAATAATTTTGTAACTAACATATAAACAATTTCTTAACCTTTATTTTTCAGATGTTCACAGCAAACGCTAAGATAATAAAAAGTGGTGGAGCCGAACCCGATGCGTTCGAAGCTAGCATTTCCCAGGCTCTACTGGAGCTGGAAATGAACAGTGATTTAAAATCACAATTGAGGGAATTGTACATTACTAAAGCACGTGAAATAGAAACCAATAACAAGAAGGTGAATCAATAGTCCTTGTACTTTATTTTAATAGTTTAATTTTCATACATTTCTTCAATTAAAAATAATATTTATTTATGATTAGTAAGGAAAATGAATATCTCAGTTAAAGTTAAATTTGTGAATGTAAAATGTAATACATGTAAACACTCATATGTTTATATTATGATATGAATATTTGTTGTAGTGTATCATTATATATGTACCTATGCCAAAATTGAAGGCATTCCAAAAAATTCAAACAAGACTCGTACGTGAATTAGAGAAGAAATTTTCAGGCAAACATGTCATGTTTGTTGGGGAACGTAAAATATTGCCTAAACCAACAAGAAAGACACGTACTAAAAATAAGCAAAAGAGGCCAAGAAGGTATGATATTGCAAATAATATTATTGCAGTTTATGTATATACACATTATCAAGAAAGGTACTGAAAAATATATATTAAATATTTTTACAGCCGTACATTGACTGCAGTATATGATGCATTATTGGAAGATTTAGTGTATCCAGTGGAAATTGTTGGCAAACGTATTAGAATTAAACTTGATGGTACACAACTTATCAAAGTTCATTTGGATAAAAATGAACAAACCAACATTGAGCATAAGGTAAATATATATTTTATAATAAAAATTCTCCTAGTATGTAATGGTTACAAGATTTCATCTTTAATTATTACTAAATGTATCTTTTATTCAATAGGTTGATACCTTCGCAGCTGTATACAAGAAATTAACTGGTCGGGATGTAACATTCGAATTTCCCGAAACTTATGTGTAATTTGTTAACAAATAAATATATTTGAAGTACCCGCTCGTAATATTTTTTCTTTTCAGTGCTTAATTGCAATATTCATTGTTGTCAGTTATATTATTAATAGTGTTTACAATTTTTTAAATTACTTTGAAATTTTGAAAATTTGCAAATTTAATGTTCAAGGAAGTAGTCTTACTTTTTTTTATAAATACTCTAACTTCACCAATATTTGATATTTAAATAATTAGAACTGGATTTACAACAGGCACTTATCTTAAGAAATCTATAATAATTAATATTTTAAAAAATGTAATTTCTTTGTGTGAATGAAATTTTTTTTCAGAAGCGAAATATAAATTATATAAATTAAATGCATAACAAAATTGATAAAAATACGTTGATTATTAGTATTTTCTTTAGTGTGTAAATATTTATAAACTAGTATGAGGTGTATATATACCAATGTAGTTAATCTCTAGTTTATACAACGAAGTTATATACATATATTCAGAATTTGATATATATCCTCAACACTTATCTAATCCTGTGCGCATGCGTATAAAATTGTTAAATTCGGTAACTACAAGCAGTTAGCATACAGATAAGGTTTTTGAAGTGCAGTTTCACGAGAAAGGTTAATACAACATAAAAAGTTGTTTGTCTTAACTTAATTGTTTACAATATTAATACTAAAATATTCATTATTTAATCGTACAAGAACAATTATTAAAATTTGTATCTAAGACTTAACCTTTATAATCTTCGAATAAGATCAAATATTTGTCACTGAAGAACGATTGTTAAATTTATCTCCGTTAAAAAAATTTGTTAAGGAATTACTATTAAATTAGTGTGTTAAATATTGGTAGTAAAAACATACTGAAGCTATAAAGTATATATTTCAGTTTCTAAATTTGCAATTTGAAATATAAAATGTTTTAATACTTGCATTAAAATGAACAGTGAACGATTGTTTATAAATGCTGAACATTTTGAAAATTAAAAACCTGTAACAGAACTTAAAAAATATATTTGTTTTATTGTTGTATATTGTAATTTGACAAATAATTTTTGTTAGTGCTGTAAGTGGTAAGTGTTACTACAAATATTGTATGTTCGACATCGCTTATTCTATATGCACATTTATACTATTTTATTTTAATGTTTGGTTAAATTTTACTTTGTGATACAAAATATGATTGACTTTATCATCACTTCTTATAGTATCTGATAAGTAAAATCCAAAAATACAAATTTTACTTGAAGTTACAAGAAAATATTAACAATTCACGCAGCTGGAATAAGCTGAAAAAGAACTTACTTCTCTATTATTTACATTTCATTTTATCTGTCATATATACATGGTAGACAGAATTATATAAATAAAGATAAAAAATGATGATATGAGAGGTATAATAAATAAAAAGTCACTGGATATATTCGCTCAGCATTATGATGGTTATAACTGCATATTCGCGTTGCTGTTGGTTACGAAATGATGCTAACCAATCAGAGCTAACATGCGCAGAATGAACGAATGCAGAAATGAACGAAAGTGTCATTCAATGACAATATTCTCTCATAAAATCAATTATAATATCAATATTCTTGCAAAATATTATACAGATTCATTTTATTTATATGTAAATTGTAGTAAAGCAATTACTTTTTATGTATTAAAATAAGCAATATTACTTTCATGTAGTTTAATAACTAAATAATTACCTTTACTATTTTATTACTATTTTTAGTTCCTTAAAGAATTAAAAACTTTTATTATACATTTAGGTTTTTCTACATAATTCACAATGAGTTCAGGATTTATATCAGAAGCTGAAATTGCTAAGCAACGAAGGATACGACAAGAAGAATGGGAACGTGTACGAACTGCAGATCAGCCATTAGGTTGTTATGATGTTATTTTGTATTTATTTTGTATATTGTTTTTAAAATCATATTTAATTAATAGAATACTAAAATAAGATATAAACTAAATGAGCAACTGATATCACTTCATGTTTTTTTACTATTTGATTATATAGTTCATAAAATTACTTAAAATGTTTTATGAAATTATTACCTTTTTGTACATTAATATTTTATTCATTTTATATAATATATGAATTACTAAAATTAATTTTTATTTATGTAATATAAATAAGGCACGTATGGTTTAAATAATCAAAATTCATGTATTTCATATAAGCATTTTTGAAAATATTTTAAATGCAAGCTTGACATTGTGTGAATATTAAATTTATCACTCTTTATATTTTATACTTGTGTTAGTTCAATATATATATTATTAATACCTTTCATAAGTTCTTATTGTGAATTAACTCTTTTATGATGCATAATTGCATTTAATTTTTCTTATAAATAAAAGCTTAATAATACAAAAACTGGTGATCTCATAAGTCAAATATAACTAAAAGAAATAGATTGTGTAAATACTTGTTGACCTATTATTACATTGTGATACATGAACAATAAATGTACTTTTATTATTAGTTTATAAAGTACTTATGGATCTACAATTATATATTTTTTTCTTATTTCTGGTCATAGGACATATTAGTGAAATTTGATTACTTAAACGTGGCTTCCCCTCTATATGCATAATTTTATCAAGCATACATTACAAAAGACAACTAATATATTTTTCCATTTGCTGCCTAGTAAGAATTTTTAATAAATATTGGTTTATGTTCATTTTAGAAGCGCCAGAAGAATCATATGATCCAAGATCGTTATATGAACGATTACAAGAACAAAAAAACAAACGAGATGCAGAATACGAAGAAGCGCACAAACTTAGTAAGTTAAGAATTTAAAGATCAAGCTATAAATAAAAATGATATAATATCAATTTCATATTTAAGAAGAAACATTATACATTTATTGAACTCACACAATTATTTTTGAATCTCAGAAAATATGATAAAAGGCTTAGATGATGATGAAGTAGAATTTTTGGATTTAGTGGATAGAACTAAATTAGAAGAAGAGCGTAAGAAACATCTTGAAGAGGAGAAAGAGATGCGTGATTTTAAAGCAGCTGTTGCTTCATTACAGGAGAGATCATTAAATGAAAAACTAAAGCAAGAATTAAAAAATCCACAAGTTATTAATAAAAATACTTCATCTGGAAGGTAAGGTATTATTATATTTATGGGCATTTCATATAGGTTTCATTAAATTTATAGTAAATTGTTTAATGAATATGAATATTTTGTATTATTTGTATTATTGTAACTAGCAGTAAGTACATAATAACAACTTTGTGGTACTATAAGGTACATTCGATTTTTTAGTAGTCGTACTTCACAATTAAAATTACTAGCTGGAGTTGTAGTAAAACGTTCAGAAAAACCAAAGCGAGGTAAGGAACAAATTTTTATTATAGAATAGAATAAGTTATATTAATTTTAAACGCATAGCTCCATTCACTAATATCTAAAGCTTTATTTTTATTATAAATAAAATTATAACTATTTATAGGGTTTTAATTTTCTTTTGTAGTCAAATTATCATCAGGCGATGAAAATAACATACCGAGAAAAGGAAAATATGAAGTAAACGAACAGTCAATGACTGAAAGTTTCAAATGCGAATCTGAAACATTCGATGATCATTCTTTAGGTGATAAAAAAGTAGTAAGTTTATTTAGTGGTATGGAATGTATTGGAATTTTACCTGGACTTGGTTCTTACGAGGATTCTAGTGACAGTGACTGTAGTTCAGATACTGATCAAGATCCAGAACCAAATCATTCCAAATATGATTTGTTAGGTCGAAAAATAGAAGTTTTAAAAGATAAAGAAACGAGCTGAATTTACAGCGCATATAATTATGTTTTTTTTTTATTCATAGGCAAATTATCGTTTTGTTTTGCAATTCGCTATAATTATAGATATAAATAAATCTTTAGACTAATTTTTCGAATATTAATACCTTCCATGTAATATTGCAAAAATAGTTGTTAATTAACAACTACTTGGAAGAATAACTGCATAATTTTACTTTTGTGGAGTATAAGAAATTGTATATGATCTATTGGTTACTAAAAATGTGTTAAATCTATTTTAATCATGAATGTTTTAATCACAGTTCAGAATGTCCTTAAAACATGATATTTTCCTAAATAAATTCTATAATAGTTTATACCAATATTTATATTTTCTAGATTGTAAAATACATAATAATAATAGTTTGTAGATTTTAAAAATATTCATTTAGTTATTATATTTACAAAAACATTGTATGTATCGTAAACATATGCATCCTAGAATGACTGTCTGGATAGTACAGATAATATTAGAAAAGTGAATTTTGCTAAATATGTTGTCCTAGAAATGTATGTATTATTTGTAAAATATTATAACATGTATGATATAAACTTACACAATCAACGCAATCTACTTTAAAATGTACTAATAAAATTATAATATTTATTACTTTTTTCGAGTAAATAATATGAAAACTTTATAATGCTTATTCAAAATTATTTACATATCTAAAATCAACGATGGGAAATAATGATCGACATGTACATAAAATATACAAATTTTTTATTTATTCCAAGACTGTAAAAAATTAATTATTTTTGTACTAGAATTTGCAAGGTAGTGACAAAATGTTTGTAATCATATAAGTCTAAAATAAATTATTGGATAGGTTTTACAAATTGTGGTTACTATAACAATAAAAATAATGTTTGTGATACACATAGTTAAATATACATCTTTATATACATGACTTAAATATGTAACATTTAAGTATACTGTTTTATTTGTAAATATTAAAAACTAAAATAAATTAATAATACTATAGAATATTGTAGTATTATTTTAGTTAAATAAGGTATAATAATTATGTGTTATATTTAATGTTAGCTTAACAAAGAATTTATCCATTCGTCGTTAATATCTTCAGAAACACTGTAATCATTAATTAAGAAATCTGTTAGGACATTTTCTATATTTGCAGTAGAATTTAGTGTAGTATCTGATATAGTTTCTTGACTATTTGATACATCCTCTTGATTTGGTAAATTTGGTTCATACTTATTAACTTCATTTAATGTATAATCATTAGTTACATTTGTAACAGAAGTTATTTGTTTACAATTTTTATTATAATTTATAGTACTTTGATTGTCATGAAAATTTTCAATACAATCTTTCTCTTGCTTCACATTATTTATTAAATTATTTTGTATTTCTTCTGTCTTAATAGTTGATTTTATATTTGGGACATTATTACTCTTACTTTTTACATCAATGGAATTATTTGTTTCCATTTTTTTCTTAATAGCAGTGAAACTGAATTTTTCATACAGTCTACCACTAGTTATCTTTTTCTTTGTGGATATATTTTTTGTACCTAAAGTATTGGTATGGGTCATATGTCCTGTAACATTTGTTTTGCAATCATTTTGTTCTATATTACATGTTACTGTTTCAGAAACTGGTGTAGATACTGGAATTTCAAATGATAATGTTATGGGTGGCAAACCATCTATTTTCATCATAGTCACATTTAAATTAGATTTTGTTTTTGTTGCTTCATTAAGTAACTCATTTTTAGGTGATTCTAACTTTGATAATTCTTTGTGTTGCGATGAATGAGTGATAGACTGGACTGTATCAGTCAGCGGTGATGATAAATTATGTTCTATGTTTATATTTGTATTGATATTTGAAATGTTTTTATGTTTATCTTGATGCACAGAAATTTTGTTATTTGTTTTGCCACTAAAGGTATCAATAGTTGACTTTTCAATTTTTTTTATTTTTCTTACATTATTTATAGTATTAGTATTTTGTGCATACCTAACATTTTGTTCTTTAATATGTTTATTTAATACATTCTCACATTTATTTTTGATGTTCTCAATTTTCATTTTATCATTATCCAACTGCACGTTACTATCAATTGATTTTAGATTATCTGTACTTTTACTGCAAGTTTTATTATGCACATTATGTGTCCTTTTTGTATTAATCTGTGATATTATGTTTGGCTCTTCCTGAATAGAAATATTTAAATCCTTATTATTATATTTTGCATCTATTGTATTTACATCATGGGTCATAATATTAATATTTTCTGAGGGATTTGTATCTAAAATAAAACTAATGCATTCTGTTGATATGTCCTTAATAAGTGCTGTAGATGCATTACGTATAGGTGGTTTTACTGATATATTTTCTTTTAATCTTACTGGCACATTATCGTCCCAATAACAAGACCACATCTTTCCCACTAACCTGGGAGAAAATACAAAATTTTCGCAGCCAAAGGGCCATGTACACTGAAAAATGAAATACAACAACTAATTACCTAATACAAAATGAGAATATAGTAACAAATATGTATAATATAAAATTATATTTACTTTCTATAATTATTATTATAATAATATTAAGGTTATGTTATAAAATATCAATATATTTCTGAAAGGAAAAGAATGTTTTAATAAACAAAAATACGAATTTGAAATATAATTTTACCTTTTCTTCTTCGCATAACCATACAGCTTCTTGTAAATTAATCTGTAATAATTTAATTTTTTTCTTCGATCCATTTTTTAAACACAACGGACATAAATCTTGCATTTTATTTTAAACTAAATATCTTCAATTCTTTATAACTGTCTTCTTTATAATTAAATAACTATTCAAATCTTAACCGTTAAAATTTTGAACATGATTTGAAGAAAATTTAACACCAGATGGCGCATTTATTTTTCAGTGATACGTGTTACCTGTTAACCTATTATGGCTTTTCAAAAAAGGCGGAAATTAAATTGGTCTAACTGTGAAGCACATTTATATAGTATTTATATAGGTGGAGTTTATTTTTATATATATATATAATTTTTACAAAAATAAATTGTATAGAAGAAAGAAAGGGCACACATAAATATGCCGGTCGATCAAATTCAGTACTCCGGTAAATACAACGATGATAAATATGAATATAGGTTTGTATACAAATATAATTAATTCATGTTAAGAAAGTAGTTGAACTATCTGTTAGTAGTCATTTAAATTTCTCTTGTACGTATTTTATAAAATATATTTGTTATAAAATTCACGAGATTAAGATTAATTTCTGATTAATATTAAGTTTTTTTTGTTTGTAATTATTTTTTTAGAAGTTAAAATGAATTAAAGTAATAACATTGTTATTTTCAATGTAAAGTTATTATTAATTTGAATTTATTTGAAATGTTTCCTTGTCTATAGGCATGTTATTTTACCAGCAGATTTAGCAAGACATGTACCAAAAACTCATCTTATGTCAGAAACTGAATGGAGAAATTTAGGAGTTCAACAAAGTCCAGGTTGGGTTCATTATATGATGCATGTACCAGGTATAATATTAGAGGCATTATTTTTCTTTTAATTAAATTTTTACGAAAAGTAATAATAAAATTTTGTGTTACCTAGTTTTTTAATACATTGTGTTATAAAACTTAAATTCACTTTTGGAGTTAAATAGTTGCTGTTTTGTAATAAATAAGTAACACTTTTAGACAAGTGCTACTTTCTGATAAATTATGTAAAATTCTTTAAGCATTTGAAACTGATATATTGCTTTCCATAAAATTACAATTTTTGTATTAATGACTTTGTAAGTAAACTACTACTACCACTTTTCATATGGACTTATAGCAAGTACATGAAGCATTCGATTTGGAAAAGCCAAAAGTTTAATACAATATGATGACATGAAAGTACTATAATATTCTGCATATAGTATATTAATATGAAGCTTACAATTTGTTACATGGTTTCATAAACTTTTCAGACATTTCTTTAATATAATCTACATGGTTGTCAGAAAATTTACTTATTAATTACTAGGTATAATGTGTAATGAGTTAATTAACTAGCACTTACACAGCATTATATTACGAATATTTGTATGGCTATTTCAAGAAACATTAAATTTTAAAGCAATATAATGTAAGTGGTACTTTGTTGTAGTTTCATATCATTAAATTGTATCAGACTTCAAACATTTTGAAATTGATTATTGTTTGTTGTAAATGGTAATTAGCCATTTAGAGTTTAAAATATTAACAAGATATTTGTACAGTGAAAATATGCACTTTAAGCTTCAAATTGATGTGCCATAAGAGCTATTATGCGATACTTTTATTTCTCTAAATCGTGTTTGATTTTTTATTTTTGAAATCTGATATTTCACATGCACTAATCTAATACATTATTACAATACATTAACTGTAAAAAATTAAAGAACTACATAATATGTCTAGACTATTGTTTAACGCCTTTAATATATCAAGGATTTATGAAAAAAGAAAGAAAAAGATTGCAGACACATTATTGTAAATATACTGTCATAATTAAAACAGAATTGTTTAACATTTTTAGAACCTCATGTGCTATTGTTTCGACGACCAAGGACTGACGTTTTAACAACTTCAAGAAGTACATCCTTTCACGGAGATTATCAGAAGGTTATAGGACTTGAAATAAATTTTAAATATTAAATGCAAAACATAATACATTTAACATATATCAGCATAATTATATTTGAAGCAATAGTTTTATGCTGATTTCTTGATGTGTAAATATTGATTTTTTATAAATTTTGAAGCATTGTAATTAATAAATCATCATTGTCATAATAACAAACCAATTTTATGTACAAGTAATATTGAAAAATCACATAAATTTCCATTTTATGAAATATATATGTGTAATTAAATATTTCGATTTACACAATTTTGTGAAATTGTATATCAATGTATATAGTTAATCATTATACACGATCAAAAATAAATTATATATTAACAGTTAAGTAATTAATTACTGTCTATATTGGTATTTTCACATAAATAATAGATATTAATAAGTTTTCTACTACAAAAGAAATTGTAGAATATGGTATTCATTATTGAAATACTTATTTTTAAATGTAACTAATGTTTTACAATAAAAAATGATAATAAATATAATCATGACAAATTATCCTATAATTAATAATTTGTAAAAGAAAGTGCATTTTATTACTCTCTAAATCATTAAAATGATTAATTTCTTTTTTACGTTGGAATATTGTCACAATAATTTATTTTGCATTTACAGAGACCAAATCAGTTTAGGTATAAATAAAAACAATGTTCGATATTATACAGTATTAATTCTATGTTTTAAACAAATTACTAATATACAAAAAATGACATAAATTAAAGTGGTGGCTTTTCAACAAGTTTAAACCAGTGTCCACATTCACAACGGCGTGGTTGACCTTCATGTAACCACATCCAATTTACGTGCGAAGAATCTGGTTCACAAATGCATCCTACAATTCGACTAGTGAATGCACTTGGTATCAAATTAGGAGAATCCTTTGTGCTGTCACGTGATATTTCTATAGCTTTCATGTGATATGGATCCTATAACAAAATGAGGTATTAATTAATTTCTACATCCTTAAGGAATTTTTAGACACATGTTTTTATTATAATTTCATTCTGAATCTTTTACTCTGCAGTTAGTTATTCTCATGTAGTATAAAACTACCTTGTACAAAAAAAAAAATTATTTACACATGTATATTTTGTAGAATAAAATTGTACATACGTTTTAGATATATTTGTTCTTACTAATAGATATTATACTTTTAATGCTAATTTGAAAAACGTACATGACAATTTATTCACATAAAACACGTATAAAACAATGTAATGTTAAATAAAATATATGTATTTTGCAGATAATTAACAACAATACTAATAACAATATAAAGGCCGAATATTTATGGAAATAAATAATTATGTAGAATGACAATAGTTTATTGTACGAGACCTATTATTTGCGATATTAACTGAATAATCATTTTATGCTATTACTTTCATTTTAAAATGACATTAATTGAGAAGCTATTGACTTACAAATCGAAAAACTTACATAATTACCAGCTGCTGCGGCAAGAAGCTCACGTTTTTCTAATCCTGTCGCATGATCCACTGGATCAGGTAATTCAGCTTCTTCCCCAGCTATAACAGAAAAGATTATAAACATAACTTTTGTTTCATATCTAGCATGAGTGAGATTGAAGAATTGTATTATTAAATTACGTAATATGAAAACGCAAAGGCTTAGGCTTAATCGTTTTTAAGAAATGAAGAAAAAATGTATACTTTACATTTCTGTGCATAAATAACAGCGTTACGGGAAAATGAACGTCTACATGTTTGGAAAACGGCACGCCCGCATAACCATGCCATTTTTCCTGTTACGTAGTCGATACTTCGCTAGAAGAAATGGTTCGCAGCACAAACAATTCACGTGAAAGCGGTTAGAGTGCCCACCTTGATTACTCTGAGATCGATCAGTGGGCCGTTCGCAGCGCCGTGATATTGGGTGTATTACAAATTCAATACATATGACTTACATATCATTTTTTTTTATTTTAAGTTCTTATATTCTATACTTTTAGATAATTAGATATGTTTTATAATATATAGTATAGTATTATTTTTATATAATTTATATAATTTTCTATATAATATCAGAAGGAACCATGTACTGGGCGATAATTTGCGCAGCTTGATAGTTTAGGGAAATTCCTAATAACGAGAACGATGATCTTGTATTGACTGTTTTAACTTCGTGGTCATATACATGGTAAGCAAAAATAAACGAACAGTGAAAGTAGGTTATGATATGATTGAAGATAAGAGAAATATTATATTCCGTTTTTTAAATAAATGTAGAATAAAAAATATTTCGTCTAATAAATAAAACATACTTAATTCAGTAGGATTGGAAATCATAAAACTTTCTGTCTACTGGGTATATACTTTGGATGCGATGGTGTCATGGATTATAGAATGTGTAGACTCGGAAGTGTGAATATGCGCAGAAAAAACAAATTTTCGTTATCTAGTTACTATTGTATTCTTTCGTGAATAGGGTATATTTTGATTCATGGAAGATCATACTTCGTGTAAAACAAATTTTCGTTCATACTGCGCATGTTGGATCTAATTGGTAGAACATGTTTTGTAATCAAGCCAATGCGCAAGTGTACTAACAACCACCACGAGGTTAAATGTATATATCCAGTGATCTTTTATTTTATATACTTTACATTTTATCATTTCTTTCTTGAATTGGTGTATTCCTGTCCACTGTATACATGACCGCTAAGTAGAAATTAAGCAATAGGAGGATAATGAATTGGTAGTGGAGAATCTTTTGACTTTTAATGAAGCTGCGCGAAATGAATATATTCTTCTGTGGAACAAAATATACATACACAGAGTATTTACACAGTTCCAATCTATACTTTGCCTTTCATCGCATGGAATAAAGTTTCAAAAAAGGTAATTCTGTATTTCCAAGATCTGATTGGTCGTTGAAGTTAAATGATCATTGCTGAAAAGACGGTGCGTTATTTGGTGACGTAATTTTTATTTTAAATATATAGCGAATCATTAATTCAATGTAAAATCATTCTGTCACAGTGTGTATTTTCCGTACAAAGCCTTATTTTATAAAAGAAAGTGAAAATATTTACAATTGTGACAAGTATTATCATTTTTTACTTTACAAAAATATTAAATATTTTTTAAAATTATTGTTAATGTATGACGTTGTTAATTTTTTAAATTTTTACAATAATAAGGTAACAACTGCTAATTGTGAACTTTCATTAGTTCTTTATCATTAAAGAATGCCAGGGTAAGCACAAGTTTTTCTCTTGCAAAACATAGTATTATAGTAGCTTCCACCTATCAAATTTAATTTGCAGGTAATATATAATTTTAAATGTTATTCTGAATCATTTAAAACGTCAATTTGAATATATAGTTTAAATGTAAACGCCCAAATACGTTTAAAATAGTTCTTTAAATTGATCAATTTTAAAAGCATTTTTATTAAATGTGTTTATTGTTCTACATATTAAGACCAATAGTAAATGTGAAATAAATCAGGCTTATTTTTGTCAAAACTTAAAATTTATTGAAAAATTTAAATTTATGATATTAGTATAATTAATCTGTGATTTATTAAATATAACAAATATTTTGTAAATAATATTTTCAATTATTTTGTACATATAAGAGATATTTCGTACATATATTTAACAAGAGGTTATTGAAGGCTTTTTTTAAAGTGTTACAGATATGTCTTTGGATCACATGTTTTGTTCTCGATGTAGAGAAGGTTTTGTACCTCATGAAAAAATTGTTAATTCACATGGAGAATTATGGCATTCTCAATGTTTTGTGTAAGAGTATTAAATTATTATTAGTATTAATTATGAATTATTCAAATGTTATTGTACAAAATATAAATAAAAAATATTTTATTTTCTTATTTATGCATAAGATATTCTTTAGCTTTAATGTCTAAAATAGAAGTATAATAATTTTATTATTGTAATACCAAATAGTTATAGGAAAGTAACATCAAAGTTACATATTTATTATTTTTGCTTTTATTAGATGCGCGCAATGTTTTCGTCAATTCCCAGAAGGAATATTTTATGAATTTGAAGGATATAAATATTGTGAACATGATTTTCATGTCTTGTTTGCACCTTGTTGTGAAAAATGTGGTAAGTAACTGTTTTATATAAATGTTCTTTTGAATATTTTTAAATTATAATATATATTGTATTATAATATTATAAATGTTATAATTTTTTATGTGCAGGAGAATTTGTCATTGGTCGTGTGATAAAAGCAATGAATGCCAATTGGCATCCAGGATGTTTCCGTTGTGAAGAATGTAATGGTGAATTGGCTGATGCAGGGTTTATTAAATGTCAAGGAAGAGCTTTGTGTCATACATGTAATACACGTGTCAAAGCAGGAGCATTAGGAAAATATATTTGTCACCAGTGCCAGTATGAATCTTTATTCTACTTAAACTTTAATAAATTTTTTATGTTATTTACATATATAAAAATTATAAAATGTGATGATTTTTAGTGGAGTAATTGATGACAAACCTCTACGCTTTCGAGGAGAGCTGTATCATCCATATCATTTCAATTGTACAGCTTGTGGTGTAGAACTTAATTCTGATGCTAGAGAAGTTAATTCTAGACCAGGATATGCTGCTAATGAAATGGTATTAGTTTTTAAATATATATAGTAATGTTCATATAATATAATATAATGACTAATATATTGTGACTGCTAATATAATTTCTGGAAATGTTTTTAGAATGAATTATATTGTTTGAGATGTCACGATAAAATGGGAATTCCAATTTGCGGGGCGTGTCGTCGTCCAATAGAGGAACGCGTGGTAACTGCTTTGGGTAAACATTGGCATGTTGAACATTTTGTCTGTGCCAAATGTGAAAAACCATTCTTAGGACATAGACATTATGAGAAAAAAGGTTTAGCTTATTGTGAGACTCATTACCATCAACTCTTTGGAAATCTCTGTTTTGTATGCAATCAAGTCATATCTGGAGATGGTATGTATATAATATGCTTTAACATTCTTTAAATTTTATTTTTATTTTTTTAACATGAAAATATACAGTTGTTTCTTTATATACAATATTAATAGTGTAGATATAAGTACAAAATAATTGTATTTTGTGTATTTTATATTTTTCAGTTTTTACAGCTTTAAATAAAGCATGGTGTGTTCATCACTTTGCGTGTGCATTTTGTGATCAAAAAATGAATCAAAAAACCAAATTTTTCGAATTTGACCTAAAACCAGCTTGTAAAAAGTGCTATGATAAATTTCCACAAGAGTTAAAAAAACGTATGCGTCGTATGTACGACTTAAATCCTAAAAGAATACCAGCTTAAAACTACTATATTTTGTTTACACATATTACTGGAAACGAAGCAAACGAATTTTGCAACATATTGATAAAAGTTAACAGTTTACTAGAAATATAACAGAACTATGTATCGGTTACTAACATTATTTAAATCTCTATATTTATGCTTTTATTTTAATAGTGAAGACTATTCTCATATATCTGAATATTTCTATACAATTTTCTTATGTCCATTAAATTTATTACAAAGTGCCTTATTACTGTGAAAAGGTCAATTAAATACAAGAGCGAAGTTTATCCACTACATATTAGAAATGAAATGTAATAAGAAGTGTACATAATAATTTCTACAAACTTTTACATCAGAATTCTGTAAAGTAAGAAACTGAAAACTGTTGATTTATATTTATTCACATAAATAATATTTGAAGAATAAAATATTATTTTAAAAATATTTTTTACAATTAGAGCTTTTAATCATTGAGATCATATTGTTACAATTATAATATTTTTTAAGTACAATATTAATCTAGATCTTACTTTGGACTTTTAAGACAATTTTCATCTTTAAGTTTTTATAGATTGCATGTTTGGAAATTATGTAACATACAATAATTATAAAAACAAAATAGAATTACTGTATTTATATATAGCCTCGTACAATCGAATACCATGTTATTATTAATTGTAATAATTCGAATAAATGTTACCTTACTAAATTGGCAAGGTTATATCATTTTTGCTGTCTGTTATAAATGTTCTCATTCCTTCGATACAACACCACAATTAGATATAATTATTGTTTTAATCGGTTTTCCCGTTTTTGTACCAAACTCTTCAATCTATAGATCACGAAAGTCTTGTTAACACTATAGTGTCCATTTATTTGAATTATGAATTCAGTATAGTATATGTAAAAAATCAAAGAGTAAATCACAGTAATTAGTATACCTTGTAAATATTTGAAATACCGGATACAACTTTTCCAAAAACTACATGTTTCGAATCTACCGTTTCCAAACGTTTAAAGGTAAGATTAAATTTGGAATTGCTTCTGTTTTCGTCATCGCTGCACATTGATAAAATTCCAGGTCCAGCATGACGTAAATTGTAATTCTCATTTTCGAATGAATCACCATATATACATGCTCCTCCACTACCATTGAATTTTGTAACATCTCCACCTTGGCACCAATAACCCGAAACAATTCGATGAAATGGTGTATTTCTAATGCGAAATACCACATTTTTATTATTAAATTTTATGCTATATAATTATCTGTTACTTAAAATTTAAGACAAAATAATTATTGAAATAGTGTTTGCTAATTTATTTATAGTAAAATATAATAAAGCTTGCTTAATTTGCAGGAAGTTAATTTGTAACGAAATTTAATAGTGCCAAGCAATAATTCATATGTTTATTATTAAATTTTATGTCTATGTTTACTTGTATGATAAACCATTAATTTTTCCACTACATAGCGCTGCAAAGTTTTCACACGTTTTCGGTACAATGTCATCGTACAGTTCAAATTGGATACATCCCAATGTTTGTTTTTCCCTTCGAACTTTTATTTCGAAGAAACATTTCGTTCGGACAGAAGGATTCATACTTTTCAATATTGATAAATCATTGACTATGCAGTAATCTTTGTTCATTTTTGGTACAACAAATGGAACCGTAGATTTTTGTACTGATCTATATTTACAAAATATTACTTTCAATTTTAAGAACTGTATGCATTTAAGAAACGTATCAGACCGAATTAAAAAAATAGTTTTCTTGGGAAAAAAAATTTCTTTTGTTATTAAAATACAAATATGTAAATAAATCATTAGTAAAAGATAAAAACTTTCCTTCTGCCATGCATTAATTTCATTCTCATATTTTGCCAACTTTTTATGAATTCCGCGGCAGGGTATTGACTAGTGGTATTGCGAATGCTTTTTAATAAAGCTTTATTTTGTCTCATAATAGTCCTGTTAGTCCTTTCTTGGTCAACAAATCTTGATGCGTATTCAATCTTTGGTAACCAACAATCTGTCGTTCCCTGTTAAATTTAATATTAACTTAAACAGTGACTAGGTAGGAATGAAGGTAAAATTGATCACTGAAACTATAAGCTATAAGGTACTTCATATGCAAATTTCCAAACTCCTAATTTCCTAAATTTTCAAATCGTCAAACTCACAATTTTTTGAACTGCAATATTTTTTGTACTTACACCTATTCGATTAATTACGTTCATTCTTCTTAATAATTTTATATTTTCCGCGTCTATGACTTTTATTCTGGCTGCATCGATATCTAAATTAGCTGTTTTGTAATAATGAGATAGATCAAATTTTGGAGGTTTATTATCAATTACGGATTTTGCTTCGGCAATCCTTCGTTTATATATTTTGTATGTTTTTTCGTCCATATTTTTTATTCTTAAATTGATTGCTTTCCTTGTTAATTTAATTAATTTTGGTAATCTATTAAACGTGATTATTAATTTGATTAATTTTAATAAATTAATATAGAGAGATACAAATTACTTAATAATTAAGATTATATTTTACGATAATATAATAATATAAACATATAATATTTTTTACTGTTTAAGTCATAAGTTTTAGAATGTTTGTACAGGTTACCATTTTTATTAATACCTAATTAATGTTTTAAACTACATGATCGCAACATGCTTTTTGAAAAATTAAACTTTTTAGAACACGATTCTAATAATTTATGTATTACACTGAATTTTTGAAAAGTTTAACATTTTTCTTTGATATTTTTTTTTGTTATCGTGTTGCATTTATTGTTAGTACTACTATTCAATTATATTTGAATGAAAATAGAATAATGGTGTAGAGAATATAGAATGAAAATGACGCGATAAATGAATTCGTGTTGTAGGCGCATTTAAAAATGTTCTTTTATATTTGTATTCCCGCTGATTCCCGCGCAGTCCTGCTGCCATGTCTGTTGCTTTCACTAGTTGTATGTGAATGTTATAAATAATAGGTTAACAATGACGAACACATAAAAAGTAATGTATTATCTACAATTTCTTTTTTTCAAGAAGTACTACATTAGTATTTTAATTAGGAATAAATTAATGTGAAAATGGATACTGCCTCAAACTCTACAAAAATTGGAACACAAACCAAATCTCAAGGTTAGAATATTTTTCTACAAATAATTCAATTATTTAAACTTTTACCTTATGTTGGTTAACTGAAACTAAAAATATAGTGCGGACAATCATATTTGAGAGTTGTATAACTTTTAATTTTATTTACATATTAATATCTAAAGTTGTTTTTATAATAATTTTAACATGACACAATGATAAAAGATTGTTTGGTGTTAAATTTGTGTGATAACTAATATATAATGCACATGATAGTGTCTAAAAATGTATCAATTTGTTAATATTATGATCATTAATGCTGATATTATTATTTTTTGTATTAAAAATTTAATTGAATGTTTTTTCAGATTTACAAGGAATGGATTGCGCTGAACGTACACAAGGTGATGGAATGGAAAACGTTGTAGCACAGAAAACTGAAACAAAACAAACAAAATGTCGTCTTGGAGATGCGCTTATTTATCATCCAACAAACTTAAAACAATTAAGTTCTATACCACCTGTTATGCCAAATGGTCCAATAATTAATTTAGTACCAAAACATGTTATTAATATAAAAGATGAAAAACATGTTTTAAATTCATTGAAATCGAAAGAACCAAAGTTTGTTCCTTATGAACCTTATAAAGCTGCAGTTAATCCAATCATTCCTTACAATAAAAAAACTAGGAAGTTACAAAAAAGTAATTTAAATATGAATGTGACTGTCTCTGGGGTTGCTGCAATGAAAATTCATGAAACAGATGTTCCACCTATTGATATTAAGAAATCAAATGAAGATAAAGCTGTAGAGAGTGAATGGATGAAAGAAAAGAAAGTCTATGAAGCAGAATTACAAAAACTTAAAGAAGAAAACAGTCAACTTGAAAATCAATTAAAATTTCAAGCACAGGTATTAATGATGTGGTTTAGATTGCAGATATTTATGCATTTAGGATATATTGAAGTCTGCATAATATATTAGGGATACTGAAAAGTATTCAAAATTTCTTCAATGACTTCAAAGTTTTTCAATGAAAAATCGAAGGATTTTTTTTAAAAAGGGAATCGAAATTATTTTGTTAATTAATATTTAAGATTTCTTTTTTGCCAGTAAACAAAATTTCGATTACTTTTCGGTACCTCTAATATATAAATTATTTAGTTCATTATCTCCATACTATACAGACAGATGTATGCTTTGGAGACTTTAATATATCATAAATATATAAAGATCTAGCTTTCTGATTCAATAGGAATATTTAAATTTATCTATCTTGTGTGTATGCATTTTTTTAGTAATAGAAACAAATTACTATGTGTAATTTTGTAACATTATAAAATGATAATAATATAAAAATATTTAATGAAATATAACATAATACAATAAATACAAATTAGTGTAGCAGCTTCATAACAATATGTAAGAATCATGCAACAGTGGTTAAATGCACTCATTGGAATTTTTAAAATTGACGAATTTAAAATATATATTATAGATATTTTTGAACTAGGTTAATGGGGAACTGAAGAATTTGCTGGTAGCTGCAGTAGGAGAAGATCTTGAAACAAAAGTTCATTTATTGACTGAAGATAAATTACAACTTGCTCGGGCTCTTTTAAATTCAGCTCAGCATCTTTCAACTCATCAAGAACAGACAGAATGGTTGGCTGGTCAGTGTGAAGTTTGGAGGAGTAAATTCTTAGCCAGTAGGTAAATGAAAATAATTGAAAATGTATATATTTAATATTTTGAATAATCAATTTCATAGTTGGGCCTTTTAGTAATATTTAATTAGGATCACAAACAATTATTACTTATTTTTTTTAATAGCTTAATGGTTGAAGAACTTGCAAAATGGAAGGCAGCTCTTGGTCAAAGGACGACGGATCTTCAAGAAGCAATAAAAAGACTTTTAGAGGATCGTAATCTCATTCGAGATACATGTCTTAAAACTTATAGGTATATTTTAATAATACAATATTCCTGTAAGTTTCTTAAATTAGTATGAAGAAAATAAATATATTTTTTCGTTTTAGAACACTTAGTATTCTTCGTGAAAACTTCGATCCTGTTGGAGCCGCTTCATGTAAAAGACACGAATTACCAACTACAAATATCATAGATTTAACACAAGGTTGCTGCCAACTCGCGGAAATCCTAAAGGTTCAGTTATTAAGTGGTGTAGAAAATGTTAATTTACAGAGAGAAATTAATATAACTGGTTTAGAGATGAAAACGGTTGCTGAAAAAACTGCAGAGCAAGTAAGTTCGTCTTAGAAGATGAATTATTTACACGATCTATATTATTTCCATTGTTGATTAATTTGTTTTAAGCGTATTAACTTCTATTTATTTACAGCTACTTATGAGTCCAAAGTTACTCATGTCAGGAAGACAGGATGTAGCTTGTAGTGCAGTGATGGGAGCAGCTGTAGCAATTGGTGGCCAAATATTTCTTCCACGAAGTGATTCAAACATAACTTGTTGTCCTCACTGTAGTGGCGAAATTAAACAAATTTGAAACTTTTTATTGGAATACATTTCTTCTAGTTATTATTGTAATTATTATGTAATACCATGTTTTGTAAAATGTATTTAAATGTATTATATTATTTTTATATTCAGAATTATTAATTTATTGATATAGTAATATTAATTGACAATAAAATAAAAATGAACGCTCAATACTATTACACATTATTTGAAAAAGCATTCATTTTTCTAGAGTCCAAGATTAAGATGTGATCTAATTAATTAATACTTTCGTTTACCTTGTTCTATTTTTATAGTTATATAGACCACATATAGAATGCACTTATATTTTTCTACAGTTATGCAATTAATTTTAAAGAAAATATTGTATTTGTTTATGTTATTTACAATTATATATTATAAAATCTGCATGGTTTTAAATATATAGTTATTGTCAGTATTTATTTTAATACTGAACGTTATTGTAACGAATTAATCTCAAATATGATTAAACTAAAAAATTTTTCTGGAATATTATTTTTAAAATTAATACAAGTTCAGTGTTACAGGACATAAAAGTTAAAACAGTGCGCGCGCATTCGTACACGAAAGAAACCTATCCCTTTCTCTTTTCTTCTTCTCTTCCCCTTCTTGTTTATGCCAGTCCTGCTGTGTATCGAAATCGAAGTTTGATTCAAAGAATCATTTGACATCGCAAGTTCTAATCCAGCGGAGTAATAAGATATTTCAAAGTGTGCGCGAAAATTGTATCACGTGACTTGTAGATCAAAAGTGCATGTCTAATGAATCGATTGTCAGTGCGATTTTTGATCGTTCAAGCAACGCGCGTTACAATCAATGAAAAACAATAATTTTTTATATAAATGAATGTTACATCATTATTAAAAATACATATATACGTATTTCTGTATGTGCATATGATTGTCGAATAATAATTGCAGATTGTATGGACCGTGTAAAAATAAATTTCTTAGAAGTGCGAAGAAATTTTCTGTTAAGTCGACGAGAAGGAGAAGATACTGGACGAGTTATTTATGAGATCTATTTTCACGCAAGTTGTGTTACCTTAGTGGCCTAAAAATATCAGTGAAATTTGATTAGGCACAGCTTGATGGTTCAGTAATACTTATTTGAATATATACATACATATATGTGTGCCTGTTTTGATCAAAACTCATATAGAAAATTATTAAGTATCATTCTCTGTCATTGCTACGGTAACATTGTAATAACAAATAATATTTTGTTACTACTTTTCGTAGTATCGCTTACAATCGATTAACAAATAACTCATTAATTTTACGAAATAATTTTACGTAGAATAACACCATAAATTATACAATATATTTTGTATAAATATGTTCATTAATAATGGAATTATGAAATGAAAGTAATAACCATTTTTTCTTTTTGAAGGCGCGATAATAATTTGAAAACGATTTTCATTCAAACCGAAAACAAGTTCATAAATTTGAAGTACACTTTTTTATTGCAATTAAATCAATTATGAAGAATCTATTTGCATTATATTTATGCAAATATTTAAACATTATCTTTATATTTTTCGTATCTTTTCATATTCTTTTTCCATTACATCCTGTTGTATTTGTTTAGTTTAGTTGCAAATGTGTGTTATAAATACGGTATAGAAAGATTCAAATATAAAATAAAAACGAAATTTGTAGTTAAATATTAAGTAATACGAACATTTTATTATTCATAAGATGAAAATAAAAATTATTATATATCGATACGACGTGTTTAATACCGAGTACAGCAAATTAATAAAATATCAATCATATTGGCGGGCCTTTTAAAAATACGGTTTATTACACGCTCACCTTATTAATTGTTACTATATACAGTTTCTCATTATTTAATACTAACTTCCTTAAAATTTTATTGAAGGTTCGGAGGTAATGGACATTAAACCACCGATCAACTCTTTCGTAAAAAACATCGAAGAAAACGCAAGAAAAATATTGTCATCATTGGATAAGGACAATGGAGATCATCGTTCGACCGAAAAGAATTTTGTACCGGTTGAAGTTAAAAAAGAAGAAACTGAGAATGAAATTCAGGTAAAGTTATTTATTTTTGAATTTGTGGAAAAATTTCGATTTATATGATCCATTCTAAATATTTTCCGTTTCTGTAGTCCCGATTAGGGCCATATAGCGAGATTCTTCTGTACAAATTTATTGTAGAATTCTATTTACATAATTTCACTATGTTATCAATACAGTGAGCAAGTAACTGATCGAAATATAATTTCTTCTATTATTAAAAAAATAATAGTGAACGCAGACTACGCAAATCAGTAAATTTATAATATTATATCAATTACAACAATCTGTATCTACTGTTACAGGAATATGCAGCGACCACAATAAGCGAATTATTAGGCTGGTATGGTTATGATAAAGTGGATAGTGGTTGTACAAAACGTTTGAACTTGGATCATTTTACATCCACATCTAATGCAAGACATAATCAAATGCATCAAATGGATCAAAATATTATACCAACCAAATTAGCATCAAGAGATTCACCAAATACTTTCAATTTTTCTCCTGATGTTTCAAGCTTACCATTGCCATGTTCTACAACTATGAATAGGCAATTCTCCCCTTTACTTGAATTGAAGACAGCTACATTCAATTCCACATCTAAATTTCCTTATAAAAATTATATAAGTTCCATTTTTTCAGGTACAGTTAATACTTACACTAAACGAATACTGCTTTTGTTTATTTTACATGAACTTGATAAAATATATTAGAGTTCATATTGTTTAATATTTTGCTGTATGTTTTATAGATAATGCAATAACATGTTCTTGGTGTGGTAGAATGATAAAAGCACGTGCACCAGGTGAAACAAATGCTCTTGCTTATAGTACAATAAATGTTCTGGAACACTTTTGTAGTGAAGCTTGCTTTATAGCTGGTAAAAAAACAGTTTTTAAGGAAGCAAAAACATGTGATTGGTGTAGGCATATACGAAATCCAATTAGCTATGTTGGTTTTCAGGTATGTAATACAAATGTAATTACATTAAGTAATAAAGATGTAACATAGAAATATTATAATAATCAAATACTATAATAATAAAAATAATTTTTTGTGTCTGTTTTAAGTTTGAAAACTAATCTTTAGTTTAAAAATCTCAATCCATTAAAGATAAACGAAATTTGCCTATTTGTATAATTTTTAATCGAAACATTTCTTCTTTCAGGATGGTGAGAGTCAGTTGCAATTTTGCAGTGATAAATGTTTAAATCAATACAAAATAAACATTTTTTGTCATGAAACACAAACTCATTTAATGCTTCAAGGTTTAAATAACGTTTCTTTTCACGACACAGAAAAAGGTAGTTTAATAACTCCGGAACTTTGGTTTCGAAATTGCCAGTCACCGCTGAATAATTCTACGGAAGATACTTTTGTAACTGATAACAATTTAATTTATAATTTATCGCCACCTTTGCTTAATAACGAAACAAAGGAGATGGAACATAATAAAAATGAAGAATCAGAATTGAGTCCAAAAACTTCAAGAAAGAAAGATTTAATTTGTATTAAAAAACATCAAAATGCTAATAATTATAGTGAAAAGAAAAACAATTTTTATAATGAAATGAGTGAAAACGATGCTAATGAATACATTAAAGAACAGGCTCTAGCAAATGAAGAAAACAAATTCTGTCATTTTATGGGTAATCAAAACCATTGTAGTATTAATATTTCACAGAAAGATAATCCAAATTGCAAAAGTTTTAAGAAAAATTGTGATCTGATGGACGTTATAAACTATAACTCGTGTAATTATAAACAAGAAGATGCTGTAACTTTAGGAAACGACATACATATACAAAATTTGCAAGAAGAAAAAGATCATAATTCACTTGAAGACATACTAAGATTATCACCTTGGTTTTCAAGAGCAACTGCATCTTTAACACAATGCAAAGTTCCACTTTTATCCACAACTTGCACGCATAAATTTAAACAAACAACGAATCATAATCAAATAAGTGTATCTCCAACACTTGTACAATCTAGTCAAATTAATTCTCCTACTCATTCATTGCCTACAACAATGTTACCTCATGTTACAGTTCTAGCACCTTACTCTATACCTATCCCCATACCTATCCCTATTCCTATCCCTGTTTTTCTGCCAGCACCAGTTGTAACTGACTGTATAACTGATGAACAAAAAAGCTTCACAACTACTGAACATACAAAATATAAAGACATAACATGTCAAGACTTACTAGGAAATAAATCTCATGTACCAAATAAATTTGAATTAAATAAAAATGAAGATGTGACAGTGACAACAAATTTGCAACATAAAACACCAGAATCAAAGGAATGTTTTTCAACATCTTTCAGCAGTAACGATGAAAACAACGATAATTTATATAAATTAAAACAAAATACAAAACCATTTAGAAAAAGAAAACACGCAAATGAAATTATTACAGATAAACACGAGAAGCTTCAATTAAAGAAAAGAAATAAGGTAATAGCAGTTTAAAAGACACTCTATTAAAGATACTCTTTTTTATAAAATATGTATTCTTTTAAATTTTTGTAATTTATAAGATTTTATATGGTAAGATTTAAATATATTATAATTATATTAACACAAATAATTATATTTTTATGCTATACGAACGTAAATATTTCTAATTATACAAATGTTATAAAGTATTCTGTACTTAATTGTAACTTTAATATAAATAATTTAGGAAGATGCTCTTCTTTATGTTGGTTTAGGTTTTTTATATTTTTTAAGAGTACATACTTAAACAATGTAATTCAAATACAAAGATTAAAAAATACGTGTTAAATTACTGCAATACATGACAACAATAAAAACTGTTTTTGTAATAATTTCATTATATTTTTCATCCAATTAAGTTCCTTGCATACTGTGCTATAAAATTAAAGGATTACTAAATGAGCGAAAAATTGTCCATTTTTGAAATGCTGTAACTTCGTATACAAAAAAATTTTATAAAAATTAATCTACGTTTTTAAAGAGTAACATTTCTACCTGTCCATTCGCAATTTAACTTTTCGAAAAATTCTTTTCTCTTCCTATTCTTATCCTTGTTATACTATAAACGGATACAAATAGTACAGTTGAAGTACAAATAGAATTCTTCATGATCAACGAAAACTTCGATAACAGAACTCGTCTTAATCGATGACTATCATGATTACCATACAGTATAGGGCTTATTAAAAATGATATGCATATAAAGAAATGAAGAAAAGATGAAACAATTTTTAAAAAAGACCGCCACATATAATGTTCACAGCGCCATCTAACAACAAACTGCTGAACTATGATGAACACGTGTAAAGTACCGACCGGAATCAGTCGGTAATTAAATGATAACACTTTTACGGTAATATACCATCAGCGAAATTTGGATTGTACTTCCGCGTGACACTGCTAGATGGCGCTGCGGCGAACCTACATAAGGGGGCGTTCAGATTAGGCAAATGCCAGTCAAAATAGCCTAATGTGAACGACGTTTAACTGAAGTTCCGCGTATCACTGCTAGATGGCGCTGTGGCAAACCTGCATAAGGGGGTGTTCAGATTAGGCAGGTACTTGTCACAATAGCCTAATGTGAACGATATTTAATACAGCGTAAGAAAGCAATGGATTTATGTATTCATCACATTTATCTCCATAATTTACAGTTTTCCATAACTTTTTAAAAGCAAATTAAATGCTACATTATCATTATTCTCTCAACAGATTTTTATTAGTTTTCTACAAGATCCTATACCACAACAGCGCACACCAATATGTACATACTATTATGATAATTCTGTCCTAGAATTAAATGTAAATAATGTATCTATCTACTAATAAAATATATTAAGTCATTTGATGTACAAAAGTGTTGGAAAATAAATATGAATAAAAACATGTATTTGATTATTTACTTACTTATAAATCTCTCATTCCGATCCCCAGAAATTGCCCCAAATTATAACAAATAAAAAATAAAATACAAAATATGTAGAATTTGTACCAGGTTTCATGAAATTACCTTATCGTCATTTCAAGAATTCTTGGGGCGCGCTTTTTGAAATTCCACTGAACAAATTCGAAAATTTGTATCAGCAGAACATGAGTTGGGAGGAGGAACCCTCCGTGCCCCTTCTTGGAATTTTACTGACGTCAAATTCCAAGAATTCCCGAGCACGATTTTTGAAATTCCACCGACCAATTTTGGGAATTTGTATCAGGAGAACATAAGTTGCGAGGAGGTATGTTCTACTACATCTAAAGCAGATGTATGTATAAAATTTAACCTTTGGTATAACGATAATAGTAAGTATATTACAGTTTATATATAAAATATCAGAATACAAAAATACGTTTTAAAATTGTAACGTTTTTACAGTTATTACTACGACAGCATTCTGTGGTAAAGTAACGGAAGATAAGTTGATACCCGTAACATCAGGATGCTATGAACAACGAGTAAGTAACTAGCTTAAATATTATAACAAAGAAATTCTTAAGTAATTTTTATTATTTTATATTTTATTTATATATATTTATAAAACAAATGATATTGCCTATGAATTTTTCAAGCGAGTAAGGAAATTACATTGTGCCAGAATACAATTTTATATAAAATTAAACTTAAATTGTTGCTTTATATAGGTAAATGGTTATACAATTGAAATGTGTGCTTGTGAATCCAGAAAAGGAAGTGAACCTTGCAACATGTCAGCACGAACAGGATATTCTTTTATCTTAACCTTTTCAGTTTTACTAGTTACATTCATGTTTACTTATTAATGTTATCCTTATTATAAGATTGCAAATATTTACATAAATACTTGTTTTGATAAAATGTAAACACAGAAAAATTTATTTTATTTTGTCACATACAATTTGTGCTTAAAGGATTTTTTTATGCTCTAATATGTTATAAATACATAAACAGTACAATAAACAATCAGATACAGTCTGATTATTATAATTTAAATATGCATAACAATATAAAAATGCATTATGTCAAAAAACGTTCATCTGATATTGTTACGCCCTTATGAATAAGGTTTCTAATGTGCTTTCGACTTTTCATCTGTATCGAATGTAAATTTCAGTATAAAATTCAATTATAAAAATCGCAAAGTTACTGCCTATATAATTCCTAGAATCACCTATCTGAAACGTAAAGTGAATAACAAAGTAACATGCTTTTAAAAGTAACCATATACCTGTGAAGATTTTATTATCTTATATTTAAAATTCTCTATGTATATTTGATTTAAGTGAAACTTTAGAAATGAGCTCTTCCGATAAAAACAATATTTTTGGGAAACATTTTTACGATTCTTAAGTTTCTTTATAACATTTTCGAAGAAACTTCAAAATACCATCACGTTCATGTCATGTCACTTTAAAAACAAGCTCCTTTTTTCAAAAGGACACATATGTGACATATGGGCCACTGTTAAAAATATTATTTTCAATATTTCTGACAAGACACGGTATAGCATGCAAACTATTCTGGACACATATTCCGCATTTTTGGAACCACGGAATATATTGTAAACACTATTTTCATGTTTACAGCATTTACATTATCAATATTCAGTAATGCTGCCTTCACCAAAAACTACACTAAACATACTGAGACAGTATTTCCGTGTAGATGCATATTCATCATTAGTAGTAGTGGAACACCCCGTGCTATGCACGGGGAATTAATCAGTTAAAATATAAATTTAACTTTGCCCACCATCCAAGCTCCCCTTGCGCAGACCTAAATCTAACAAATAAACATGCACAGTAATTTTTCTACAAGGACCACTCGTAACTATGATGTAATTAGAGTATAGGAATTATTGAAAATGCTGCGCATATAAATACATGGAGAAAAAAAGGAAATAATCTTTTAAAAAAACCGCCACAAATGCTGTTAACAGCACCATCTAACGCCAAACTGCTGAAATATGATGAACACGTGTAAAGTACCGATCGGATTCTGTCGGTAATTAATTGATTTACACTTCAACGGTAATATACCATCAGCGAAGTTTCTATTATAGTTCCACGTATCGCTGCTAGATGGCACTGCGTCGAACCTTCATAAAGGGATGTTCAGATTAGGCAGGTGCCGGTCAAAATAGCCTAATGTGAACGACATTTACTTAAAGTTCCGCGTACTACTACTAGATGGCGCTGCGGCAAACCTGCATAAGGGTCGTTCAGATTAGACAAGTACATGTCAAAATAGCGTTATGTGAATGACATTTAATACAGCGCAAGAAAGCAATCGTCCGATTTATGTATTCATAACATTTTCTTCAACTTTTTAGAAGCACATTAATTGCTACATTATCTTCACTCTCTCAACAGACCTTTATTAGCTTTCTACAAGATTCTGCATTACAGCGTAAACTAATATGTACATATTATTATGATAATTCCGTCCTAGAATTAAGTGTTAATAATGTACCTATCTATCAATAAAATATATTAAGTCATTTGATATACAAAAGTTTTTGAAAACAAATATGAAAAAAAAAAACATGTATTTACATATTTATTTATTTATAAATCCCGTCATTCCGATCTCCACAAATTGCCCCAAATATTAAAAAAAATAATAAATAAAAAAGAAAATATTGATAACATGCATTATTAGGAGATATTCTTTGTGCCTCATAGAATTTTCATAACGTCATTCCAAGAATTCCTGGGCGCGATTTTTGAAAGTTTGTATCAGGAGAGCATAAGTTGTGAGGAGGCATCTGTCGTGCCACTTCTTGGAATTTTGTTGACGTCAAATTCCAAGAATTCCCGGGCGCGATTTTTGAAATTCGACCTACCAATTTTGGGAACTTGTATCAGGAGTACATGAGTTGTGCGGAGGTATCTTTAGTGCTATTTCTTGGAATATAGTTTACGTCAAATTCCGAAAATTCTTATGTTCCCTTGTTATATATGTTGTTATTCGAATATGTGAATTTTTATTCTTTTATGTGTGTTGGGTAATAATAAATACACAGTTGTTATTTATAAATTTTTCTTTATTTTCATCATTTTTGATACAGTGGTCATTTGAGTTCAGGGTTTTAATAAATACATGGGATACATACGTAAAAGAAAATGTAATATATGAAATGATAATTTAATGGTAAATCGTATCTCTTAGCTCGACATCCTTTTCTGTAGTTCATTTCGTGAAAAAATATTTAGAAAACGACATCGATTACCAGGTCACATCACGAGGAGGTGGCTGCGTTAGAATATTGTTCCATCGTAGCTCCAAATCCCTACCACCTTCCAATTGAAACTACCTCATTTATCGGAAGGATAAATGAGTTCTGATCAGTGTTGGGAAATCGTGATATTTTATCTCACGCGAGAGCTTTATGCGCATGCGTCAGCTGATATCACAGCTTGCTGCCAATGCCGTACCTAGCCGGTACACGCAGTGGTGACTGATGAGGGCACCTTAATGATCCTACATAATTTCTCAAAAATTCTTATAATTGCACTGTAAACTATGAATGTATAGGTTGGGTTAGATTACATTAGGCTGGGTTAGGTTAGT